TCCATTGGGGTGGATTCAGAATGAGGAGAAACTAAGTGTAGTTGATCAATGCACTGTCAGATTTGCGCTCCATGAGTCGTATATTAACGAGGTCACGTGTGACGTCGTTCCATTGGATGTTTGTCAGATTATACTGGACAATCCGTACTTATAGGATAGATATGCGATCTACGAGAGGCGGGCTCAGAAGTACACCTTCACTAAGGATGGTGAAAAATTCATATTTCGTTCGGCATCTCTTCCGAGGGAGACAAGCTTGGGGACGGTGATGCGAGCGAAGAGACTAGTGAATGCAAGCAAGAAGTTTGTCTCGCTATGCATTAGACTTCTAGAAAAGTCATCGATAAAGGATTACAACTTAGAGCGAACGGTGACTACGATGAGACGCGGGACGAATGAGTTGTTTCCGATCGGACGTCGAGACCGGATCCTAGCAAGGCCAGATGGTGCAGAAAAGATAGAGGAGCTCAAGAGTTTCCTCAACAAAAGTTTTAACTTGAACGAGACTTCAAGTTCCTAAAGAGGGGATCCATGATACGGGTGTATCTTCTCTTCGGGAGCTTAGCGATCCTCATGGGATCTTGAGGATAGATGATTCTCATGATAGCATGAGAATAGGGGTGTAAAACAATACAGTGGGACGTAGGTGGAAGCGCGGAACGAGATAACGAGCAGCAGATTCAAAAAATCCAGTTTTTAGCTCGTGAGTCGACTCATACATGTACATGAGTCGACTCATCAGGTTGAGTCGACTCTTGCCTGTCATGAGTCGACTCAAGAACTCAAGCCCTGTTAGCAAAAAGTTTCTGACCAGTCGACTCGTCAGTTATGAGTTGACTCATATGAGGTCATGAGTCGACTCATATGAGGTCATGAGTCGACTCATCTCAGTCATGAGTCGACTCATCGATGGTTTCCTGGTTCGTTTGGGTTTCTGTTCACACGAATTACTGTTGGTTTTGGGCTTGGTTATTTACCAGATTGCCATCCATGTTTGTACAACTATATAAAGGGTTGTTTAGGGATTCTAAACATCTTCTTAGAGATCATATCTTAATCATCTTAAAGATCTTAGATCAGAGAGAGATTCTAATCATTGTATTAGTGTTTAGAGAGGATTGAGAGGTTGTTCTCGATTCTAGTGAGATTGTGAGGGAGAGATTTGTAATAATTGATTCTTCATAATCTAGAGAAGGTATTTTCCTTCGCCATACTGAATTGTTCTTGTGTTTTAGTTGTCTTCTTCTCAACCCACCTTTTGGTAATTCCGCGACCAAAGGGTGCTCGCACGGCGACTCGTATCAAGTTGGTATATGAGCAATCAGATCCGGTGAAGGGGCATCCTGTGTACGATCCTGACTGCTGATCTCGGGTTGTCGGCTCGACCTTAGCTGGCTTGGGGGAGATGGAACCCCCTGCTCAGGTAGAGCTCTTGGGCATGGCTGGTTTGGCTACTTGGGGCTGGGCCACATGCATGATTTTGTGGTATCGATGAGAAGCCTTACCGCTAGAGGAGGAGGAAGATAAGTACTCCTCGTACTTAGCTTGGTCGAACTCAATAACGATGGACTTGGTGGTTGTCCCTTTCGCAATGTCGTCATACTGTGCTACCACCATTTCGGTTGAAGAAACGGTTTCTCCCACTGTGGTCGCCATCTTCTGTAGGGTGTAAAATTCAGGTTTGGATGCGAGATTTGTATTATCTGTGTGTTTGTTACAAATCAATGAAATTCAAATTTATAACAGAAGTGGAGAGAAGGCTCTCCTTGTTTAAAGTGGATTCTTCAGTAGCGATAGGACGCCTCACTCGATACTTGAGCCAAGCTTGCTTCTCTTGGATGATACGATCGACGTCGTGGTTGGAACTTCAGTACGCAGTAGAGGCTCCAAGGTGATTAGGTTTGAGTCTACCCGAGGCCAAACAAGTACTTGTGCTTGTAGGACGAATTCTTGACTGTCAGAAGTCAACTACCCGAGCTTGATAAATATCAAGGCCGAAAGCTTAGAAAGGGCTACAATGCAATAGTTTATAGAGCCAATGAGCCTCAGATCTGAGAGTTCAGATCGAGTCTATTTCAACAATCTAAGCTTACAGCCAAGAATGTTCTACCAAGCAAGTCAATGAAGGTCACTGTCAGAAGAGCCAATTCCAGCAAATTCGGTCCGATTTCTGCAGCCTCCGTCCGTTCTTTTTCCAAGAAGAGGAATAGAATCCGCCCCTCGAAACATGGGATATGACTGTTGATGTGACTGTTCCCATACCCCAAGTGGGTAGTTGACAAACATGCTGGTGAGTTTGGCAGGCGAGATTGCCCTTTAGGCGAGCTCAAGCCCACATGCGAGCTTCAGGTTGTTAGGTGAGCTTGGGCTTCAATCGAGTCTGACTCATGCTAGAGAGTCATCTTCGAGAGGGAGACTGACACCACCCTTCGAGTCGACAAGAAGGGGTGTCATCCGAGATCTTCTTGGTGAGTCAACTTTGGGAGGGAGACTGACACCGCCCTTCCAGTCTACACGAAGAGGTGTCGACCCGAGTTCTTCTTGGTGAGTCGACTAGGGGTCTCAGCCACTTGGTCTTCGAGAGGCAAACCGACACCGCCCTTCGAGTCGACAAGAGGATCTTGACAACTTGGAGTCGATGAGGGGGTATCGGCCCTTCAGTCTTGGCGAGTCGACTAGGGGTCTCGACTACTTGGTCTTTGAGAGGCGAATTGACACCGCCCTTCGAGTCGACGAGGGGGTCTTCGAGGGGGTCTCGGCCCTTCGGTATTAGCGAGTCGACTAGGAGTCTCGACCACTTGGTCTTTGAGAGGCGGACTGACATCGTCCTTCGAGTCGACGAGGGGGTCTCGGCCCTTCGGTCTTGACGAGTCAACTAGGGGGTCTCGGCCCTTCGGTCTTGGCGAGTCGACTAGGGGGTCACGATAACTCAGTCTTCTTAGGGAAACTCACACCACCCTTTCGAGTCGACGAGGGGGTCTCGGCCACTTAGAGTCGATGAGGGGTCTCGGGCCTTTCGAGCGACGAGGGTGTCTTGTCACTTAGTCTTCGAAGTAACGAACTAACACCGCCCTTCGAGTCAACAGAGCGGCGGTGGCGGGTTTTGTGAAGAAGGAGGAGAGAGAGAAAACGAAAACATATATATAATATATATATATATATATATATATATATATATATATATATATATATATATATATATATATATATATATATATATATATATATATATATATATATATATATATATATATATATATATATATATATATATATAAATTATATATATATATATATATATATATATATATAAAGGGATATTTAGGATTTTGAAAAATAATTAAAATTAATATTAATTACGAAATAAATTAAATAATTATACGAAAATTATCTACACATTAAAACGTACCAGTTATACTAATACGGCAGATAATATGCAATAGTAGTAACAATACAACAAATTATACAATTAAACGAGAATAATTAATAAAAAATATAACTGCTTACATTTAAAATCAAATAATTATGGGATAAATATCTACAAATTAAAATGTACCTGTTATACTAATACAACAGATAATATGCAATAGTAGAAATAATACAACAAATTATACAATTAAACGGGAATAATTAATAAAAATATAATTACTTACATTTAAAAACAAATAATTATGGAAGAATTATCTACATAATAAAACATACCAGTTATACTAATATAACCGATAATATGCAACATTAGAAATAATATAACAATTATACAAATAATACGTAATTAATAATACAACATAATACACTAAATAACGCATAATAGTAACAATAATACAACGTATTATTTAAAATAATACGTGTTATGGTAATTTACCATCCAAAGACAGAGATATCGGAAGAATGTCTGCATAAGCCCAAGAGAGCTATGGCTCAAACCAACTTAGAGGCTTAAAAACCCAGCCAAGGTCAAGTCTCTCGACCAGACGAGCAAACAAGCCCTATTTTGATCAAGGGTCATCATGACCGACTCGAAGTGTGGGATCAGTCGCCCCCTCGTAATTAAGACGACTCCTCGAGCAGACTACTCGACCATACACCCGACCCAAAGCTCACTCGACTATCGGGTCGCCAAATCATAATGATGGCTAGCAGATCAACCCGCCTCAACTAAAGGGATAAGAACCGACCAAGTTCACTTCAGATGTTAATCGACACAACATTATTGATTAGTCCTATCAAAATCTTCATCCTGACAAACCTCGTGCCCAAGCCGCTTATTCTGCTTACAAGTTATTTCCCAGAAGATTGCCATGATGCTTTCCTGTGCACGAATGACTTCTCCTCCAATCACCAGCCACCACCTGGAGAGAGAGGGACGGCCAAGCAGCCGACCTATCCTACGTCATACCTGTTCTATCAAATCTAGGATACTGAGAAGTTATTTCTCTCTTGTACTTGAGTGACCTCCCTTCTAACCGCCAGCCGACATCTGGAAGGAGAAGGATGACTCAGCAGCTCGACTGGTCACCCCTCAACCGCCTCTTATGCATAGTCAAAGCCAGGGGCCAACCTCGCAGAGGCAAGGGACTATAAAAGGAGGGATGGAAGGTAAAGAGAGGGGTAGGGATGGCAAATGAATGGTTTTGGTTGGGTTTTGGTTGGATCATAAATGGGTGGGCACATTTATGACCACTTAACCATTTATGACCCATTTAGCACTTGCTAAATGGGTTGATTCTCATCCACCCATTTACTAAATGAGTGGTTCATGGGTAACCCAATAATCCATTTAGTTATGATACTTTTATATATATGTAAGTTTCAGGGGGTTTTTTACAAACTTTTAGAGGGTTTTCTGTAAACTTGCAAGGGGGTTTTGGAAACTTTCAGGGGGTTTTCTGCAAACTTTCATGGGTTTTTGATAAAATTATAGGGGGTTTTCTGCAAACATTCAGGGGGTTTCTACAAACTTTCAGGGGGGGTTTCTGCATATCTTTTGAGAAACAATGGTATTGACATATGCTTGTTGTACGATAAATTACAGTTGCACAAAGGAAAACAGCACACAGTCAATAGAAATGCCTAAAAAAACCTTCTTCCACTCCAGAAATGGATTAGAAAACATGTTTCCTGTTGAATAAAAGTGAACATTTCAAACTACATTTAGGCGGACATTTACAATTAGGTAATGTTTTTTTCCTTATCTGGAAGCTAAAAACACTTTTAACAGAGCTTGCACATCAGCAATCTCTGACAGAATCAGCGCGTTCTAAACACAGTTTTATCTTGACATCCATCGACCCCAGTTTGTGGTCCTCAAATTAATTGGTGCAGCTTTGACAGCTTAAGCTCCAAGGATATCGAATTCATGAGGCATGGAGTCTCCACTTGGTCTATAGTACTTTTCAGGAGAATACAACCCTATGTTCGACACTTTGCTGGTGTACAAACAAGCAAACCTCTCAACCTGCACATAGCACAATTATAGCACAAACATGACATAAAACCGGCTATCATTATAGTGAAACCCATGAGATGCTGTAAAGAAATATCTGCAGAAAATCGACACTAAAACGTCATTGTCAACTATTTTTTTCATTCTGAAAGGAAAAAAAATCAACGGTTTTGCTGATATTAGAGAAAACACTAGATATAGCACATAGGAAAAAAGGATTGTGAGTCTACAAGCCTTTGAGAAAAGGGAACCGCATAACTCAGGTGCCTTGTACCACCTGACAAAGTAGTACAAGCAGTCTTGTTGCTTAAGCTCAAGGATAATCCCTACAAAATATCTAATTTAAGACAAAGCCTAGAAGAGGGAGAAAGATTAAACTTGACTATAGGAAACATGTTTGGTTCCAGGAAACAAAGAGAGCCAAAAATAAAAGTAAAAATATTCCAATTCCAGGGAAGAGAAATTATGTTGTGAGGTAGGAAAAGATTTTCAAAAGTTTTGTATCTCCTAATTAAATACAAATCAAATTGAAAACAAAAAAAATCCTCATACCTTCACTAAAACTTTTGATTTACCCATAACTTTCACTACTTCACCAACGTATGATCCAGGTTCCTGAAGCAGTTGCAATTCCTCCAGCAACATTCTCACTGCGGTCGCATTCACAATTCCAAAAAAATTAGCAAACAAAATAATAATAATAATAATAATAATAATAATAATAATAATAATAATAATAATTTCTTTTTTAATGAAACTTGCTCTTACTAAAAAATACAAGGTAACTGGCAGAACAATTCAGCACATAATAAAGTTGAATCAAGTAGCAAGTTATATATCATGAACATAGAATAATATAAATAGTTAGCCAAAGTTCCGATATATATCATGAACATAGAATAATATAAATAGTTAGCCAAAGTTCCGAACCTACTTTCATGGTCACACAATTGATGGTAGTGAACACAATCAAAAGAGATAGTTAGCCAAAGTTCCGAACCTACTTTCATGGTCACACAATTGATGGTAGTGAACACAATCAAAAGAGAGAGAAAGCTATGATGTTGCTACAACTCAAGAAGTATGCAGCACTGCCAGAGTAGCTAAGTTGACCAATAATTTCTCATTCATGGATCCTTGCTCTTATAACAAACGCTACAGCGTAAATTATACGCTAGATTGTCAAAAGTAACAGCTTATGTTATATATCAAACTGGCGAGATACAAGCAAATTATTTGCACCAAGAAAGTTCTAAACCTGTTTTCGGTATTGGGCTGCTCTTAAGACAACCTGAATGAGTAGCTCCAACTGTTTCGAAAGTTTTCAGTTGGAGTCACCTTTTTAACATTGATTAAAGATTAATGATTTATTTAGAAAATGATTGTATGCATCAAATCAATCTATACAGTTTGTGGCAATATTTCAGGGTGCATTCTTCTCTGCACAAAATCCTAATCTCAAGGAACAATTTTTTTTCATTTTATCCTCTTCCCATGGACAAATTAATACTTGGAACATGATTGTATATGTAAATTCAATCTATACAGTGTGCGATTGTACATCCTTCAGCGTCTAATTCTTCTTAGCACAAGTCGTACTCTCAAGGCACAAATTTTATTAACGTCCTTTCTCAATTACAGCACAATCAGATCAATTACAGCATCAAAACAACAGTAAAGTCAAGGATTTCAACACAGTGCTAGGGTTAGGGTTTCGTCGCTGACCTTTAGAGTTGAGGTCCTTCCTCTGCACCTCGAGGCGATTAAGGTCGTGAGCCTTCTGGCGAGCTCAAAATCCAGTGATTAGCTCGATTGAAGACCTGAATGTTGAAGTTGCTCAATCAAAGGCCTGAATTTGAACAGGAGAGACGCTCGAACTAGACTCAAACCCTAATCGTTGCCTACACAAGTTGAAGATTTGATTCTGCTGTTTGATCGGAGAGAGATGAGGAACTATGGATCGATGGAGATAGGTGAAATCGAGCGTTTGAGAGAGGAGAGAGCGGAACTATGGGCTCGAGCGTTTGAGAAAGAGGGGAGAAAGGAGAACGTGGGTATAGGGGCGGACCAGATTGGTTGGATTATGGGCGGTTCCGGTTATGAACCGTTTATGCTGCATAGAAACAATACTCATCTATTTAGGACCCGCTTAGTTATATGGGTGGGTATAGTTGGACTATTCAGCGAGTGGGTATGGGTAGATTATTGGGTTTTGGTCTCGATTGCCACCCCTAGAGAGGGGTAAGTGATAATTGTTTGGCTACTTCTTCTTTATAAAAACAAGGAACCTACATTGGTTAAAAAAAGAACTACAAAACTCTCAAAAGAGTACGCTCCAAGGACCTCAATGGCCTAAGGACCTTCCCCCAAACCTCACTCAAGTTCCATAACTGACTTGATCGTCGGAGGTACCATGGGGAAAACTAGCCCCGTACTCCTGCGATTCTTACATGTGTAGGTTATCAGCCCACCCCGCGCGCTCAGAATCGAGCGTAAAGTCGGAGGAGGAGTCTGTTAGACCATAGAAGGGGGGTGATTAGGGTCTTATACTAATCTAATCTGATTTTATTCCAACTAGTATTTAGACCCGTGCAAAGCACGGTTCCTAAAAGATTTTTTTGTCTTTTTTTGTTTATTCTTTTGCGGTCTTTGACATAAAATCATTCTACAACAACATGTAGATGTTCATGATGCTAGAGAGGAACTCAAAGAACCATATCTAAACTTTCTTCAGATGTTTGACAATGTTAAATTAAAAAAAAAACTATAGAAAGAAGGAACAGTGTAACATATAACCCAAAGGATTCGACAATGTAAAGGATAAATCTTCCAAAAATTATCGCACCACTGTTTGTGCAAAAAAATGTCAGCATCAACTTGTTGTGCAGATAAGTACAATTACAGTAATCTTAAAGAACTAATTCTGATTAGCCAAACGCACATAATGGAACAGAGCAAACTTCAACAAAAATGCACATAATAATGATGACAAAATCTTAACTAATTACCACAGCAGAAACATGCAATCTAATATAATGCACCCAAAAAAATCATAGTATATAGGCAGTCTCAAATCCCATCCAATGCTAACAATATAATCACCAAAACCCAAATGAGTGGGACACTGACCTGAAATTGGCCAAATCTTTAAACCTTAAAACGGAAACCTGAATCAGGAAACTCAACTCACCTTAAAAAAGTTCAAAAAAGATCAGGAACAAAGAGATGATGAGGATCATATTGAGAGAGATAAGTGAGAGAGAGACCTCGAATCTCTTTTTGGATGATAGTTGATTCTCTCAAGTTAACCTTCCCATCTGAAATTAGGCTCCAATTATTTGAAATTTAAGCCTTCGGAGCAAAATTAGGGATGCAAGTCTGTCAAACTTGTGTCCAAATACAGTGATCCATGGATTACTCCTGAATGGACCTCGAACCTGGAAGAATGGTAAGGTCATAAAATTAGAGAACAAAGGCCCAAATACTTGACAGGTAAACCTTTTTGGCCAATTTTTTCTTGACAATAATCTATTACATACATGAATGTTTAGGCCAAAATGGCTAGTATAGAAATTGATGTACAGGGTCATGCATGTAGAGATTTCATCTTCTCTTTGTTCGATGCATCCATTTGTTTACATTTCACTTTCATGCACAGAATAAATAAAAAAGACACAACGAATTTAAATTTGAGACCTTCATAATAAAATTTCTAGGGGATTCTTCTCTTTATTCGGTGTACCCATTTGTGTACATCTCATGTTCATGCACTCAATAAATAAAAATATATTTTGAATTAAAATATGAGACCTTCATAATGAAATTTCTAGGGGCTTTCCGGTTAGTCTATAAATTCAAGAGGAGACTCAAAGGAAAGCTATATGCAACTCCATTATAATCAAGCAAATAACATGTTTGAGTGACACTCTCAAAAGCATCAAACATGAGTCATATAATGAAATCAAATATTGAGTTGTAGAAATTGGACGACAATATGTTGCTGAGGAAAACACAAATTAATTTATCAAGCACACAGAATTGCAATGAGAATCCAGTGATATTAGTACATTCTATAATGATCAGAGAGATATTTTAGAAAGAACGTGTTTATTAGAGCTCAAGGGTAAAAATTGGTAGTTCGGTTGATGAAATGATCCTCAAATTTCTCAAATAATTTTTAAAACAAATCTAAAAAACAGAAAGACAAATATCCTATCAATTTAAAAAATAATATTTTCAAGAAAAAATTGCAAATAAAAGAGAGTTTTGGGGTTTTTATTCTATACCATTGGAAGAACTTATATTTGTGCTTCCCTCCATCTGAAACATAAAGAAAAAGATTCCATCAAATTCAACAATAATATTTTTCATCGAGAATCAATTTTCAAGTTAAAATCACAATGCATCCCAAAATCATAATTCTCACTCGGATTCACATAAAATACTTCTCCTGAATGATTTCTGGCAGTGGCCGAAAAACAACATGTAGATGTTCATTTTAAAACAACATGTAGATGTTCATTATGCGTGCGTACTCCTTGTGCAGCATATTCTTAGTTTCAACAGGATATATTATAGTAACATTTTAGAATCAAACATTAAAAAATGACCACTTTTAACTGGCTAAATTGATTATATTTGTAATTTAAATAGAACAGAACTTGCCTAAAAAGTGAGCCAAACCCTCAAGGCCATCAGGATCGCTGAAGTATCCAACCGAAACCACCATTGAAGCAGCAGCCTGCAATAATCCAAGGAGAAATTTAGGGCAAAATAATCAACAATACCATAAAATTTTTATAGACAGATAGAGAGAAAGAGGAAACCTTATCAGTATCGGGATCGCTGATGAGGAGAGCCTCGAGGGAATTCGAGATGACGATCCTCCTGTACTCGTGCTTGTCGATGCGAGGCTTGAAGATCTCGACGTTCGTCGCTGATTTGCCAACAGCCATTTTTCTGCTGCTGGGTTCAATTTATTAATCTCACAAACACTTTAATGTGTAACATTTTCATGTATAAATAGAACATCAAAATTTATTATTTTCAACTTTCTGAACATCTCTAACAGGTCTCTGTTACCATCTTTTGTAGAAAAGTTACCTGACCAGATAAATGCAAAGGAGCCGCCAACATATATTAGATGCACATATATATAGCCATAAGCAATGCACGCGCAAGAAAAATGTTTTATGTTTTTTGAAATTAGGATTCATGGCATATAATTTGTATTTGGTATTAGTCATGTGATCAAGATTTAGCTTTTTAATTTATGGACATATCACATTATCTGATAAAGTACCATTTCTGACATCTTTCAAGACAAATCAGTTTCCCTATAGTGAAAAAATAGTATATATTGTTCGTCTGTTTTGGCAATAGACTGATAGAGTGAAAAACTCTGGATCGAAGAACACAATTTCGTCTTTAATCAATTGAGACTAAAATGGTGAATGTAAGAAAACCATGAATATTATGTTCTCACCGGTAGAAGCATCAGTATTGCAATTGGGATAACACAAACAATATCAATTAATGTTCTTGCAATCTTTTTCTTCTCCCTCTTTGTCAATGTCTACCCAAATATTTGTTTCCGAATAAACTGAACTGTGAACATGACATCAATAAAGAGCATCTTAGATCCCATGCAGATGTCCTGGGTGACAATAATCAAATGTCAAGTAATTTGGAAATGAAATCGCAATAGGACATCTCTGTCGAAGCTTTGTCTCTGCAGCTTCAGGAAGCATTGCGAGGATCTTATCTGAGTAACTCGACTGCAAGGTGGTAACAGAGGCCTGTTAGAGATGTTCATAAAGTTGAAAATAATAACTTTTCTACAAAATGTGTGCGCGTATGTATATATATACATACATATGTGTACATATGTACATATATGTATACATATGTACATATATCTATACATATGTACATATATCTATACATATGTACATATGTATATACATATGTACATATGTATATACATATGTACATATGTATATACATATGTACATATGTATATATATATATAACTCAAACGAAGATTTTTGTGTTATTTTCACCTTTGATGTTTGATTCTCGGTGGATGCCGAACAATATTTAGTCTAAATTTTATAATCATGAGTTTATTTATGACCAATAGTCCCCAATAACTCATATTTTATAATATATTATTCAGATTATCAGGTTCCCAAATTAAATAAATTGTTTTTATACACGAAAATGATTCAATATGCTAAAATTTGGTAAAGACCAAAGAATCAAAAGACAGCAAATGGAGAGAACTGTAAAAATCTAGGGAGAACGCACCCCTAAAAGCTAGAGTTAGATGAAGCAAACCCAAATCTCTTATAAATCAACATTTGACTTCCCATTAACCCCAATTTGCTTTGCACGGGACTGAATGTAGATCTGAAATTGATCAATACTTCTAGTCGAAACTGAAACATTTGATGAAGGTAAGGGATGTACTTTTACCAAAAATTCAATTTTCCAGCATATCATGAACAAAAATTTCACCTTTAAATCAAAAGTTTCTATTAACAAAGGCAAAGGAGAACAATCAGATACGATGAAAATCAAACCCTAGCCACAAAACAAAAATTAAGTTACCTCGTCAAATTCTGTGTCCAAAACCCTAGAATTCCCTTCCGATCGCCGTGAATTCTAATCGATCCCGAGATCTCCGGAATTAGACCGCCAGTCGACGAATAACTTCCCTCAGATCCGATGATCTTCAAACTTTCCTGCAATTATTTTTAATAATATCAACGAATAGAAAATTAAAGAGCTCATATCTTCGAAGGTGAAAAGAAAAGAGAAAGCGGTATGAGCTCTCCATTGTATCTGATGAGAAAGCGGTAAGGCTGTTGGAGGCGCTGGTGGGTTGTGGGTTTGATGATGGGTCGGGTTCGGTTGAGGGGGAGAAGGTGATTGGCGACGAAGATGGTGGGGAGATTGATGATGAAGCGGTGGAGTTCTCCATTGTTTTTGGGTTTAGGTTTGGTTGGGTTCAGAGAGAGATATTGGGGGGAGTTCAGAGAGAGAGAGAGAGACAGAGAGAAACATAAAGGGGTAGTTTAGAGATCGTGGTATCGTGAGAAGTTTGGAAAATGGGCATGGAGAGAAATTCGGCGTGAGAGAGACATGAATTTACGGTTATGCCCTTTAAATAATTGTTAGAACTTTGTTGTTCTCCTTTAGTAATAAAGAAGTAGATTAAAACTAATTAATAAGTTATCCTAGCGGGTATGAAATACAACAAGATACATGAGCTAGGATAGGCAATATAAACTAATGAATATATCCTAGCAATAACATATTACAAATATATGAGCAAGGATATATAAATAACACAAGGGTAAATAATGTAAACAAAGAAGTGGACAAACTAACTAATGAGACAATGGCGATATGAGCAATGAGCACAAATATAAATAAACGCCAAAGAACACACAAACACAATAAAATGACCACGGAGTTCGGACCTTCCGTCCTACGTCTTCGCTCCCCACTCTCGGGGAGAAATCCACTATCACAATCGGGTTTTCTACGTTTACCCGAATAACGTTTACACCTCACACTCGGTTTTCTAGCTAACCGAAAACTTTACAATTAACACTCTTGCAATCCCACTCCACACCCTCTCAAGTGTTGGACCTAAACGTGTCTCCCTCAAGTGCTCGGATACAACCTCTCCCTAGGTTCGTCAACCGACGCCACTCCTTTTGGGACAATCCCCGACTTACACCACACACTTCTCTCGGTGTACAAGTGTATTACAAAGTGAATCTCACAATTAAGCACGAATACAACAAATGATTGTTCTCTAATATGGATGAGAACACAATGAAAGCTCACACTCAATTGTTACAACTCTTACCAACCCAAATATACTATGTATAAAAATACGATAAGCTCAAGTGAGTGTGTGTAACAATGAGAATAAATAAAATCTAACTCAAAAAGAGCTAGCAATAAAATTGATATGAAATACAATAGTAAAAATGCTAGGAAATTGAGTTAAGAAAACTTCTCTATAAACACAAAGAGAGGATGAGAAGATATTGAAGATGAACTCCTCAACAGATGATGCAAGCTCCTCTTTGTAAAAGCAAACCCCAAACTTAAAACAAATTAAACCAACTTAAACCCTTATTAAACTTGTTAAAACATTTTCTTGGCTTATCATGAAAGATGAGATCAATAGGGTATTTATACCCACTCAAAACTTCAGCAAAAACCCAATCAAAATGATAAAAAAGCCCAAGAAAAAATAGCTCAGAAACTAGTCGTTGGAACCCAACTGTCAGATCGGTGCTCGTCCGCGGCAGTCGACCGCGAGCAACAAAAAGGCAAAACTGAGCTCTGGAAAACAGACGGTCGATCGTGACGGTCGACCGTGAAATTCTCTGGACTGCATATGGTCGACCGTCACGGTCGACCGTGAGCCAAAAAGATCATACTGAGTCTTTGGACTCGAGGGCGGTCGACCGTGGCGGTCGACCGCAAACAAATACATGAAAATGAACAGGTTTATAAATAGTTTTCTGATTTTAAAACCCTGTTTAAAATATCAAATAAATTCTAAAAATTATAAAACTTTGGGAAATGATTATAAACATGATAATACACATGTTACAAAAATTGGTTTTCAAAAAGGACCTCCCAAATAAGAAATATCATCATTTTACAAAATAGTCCAAAACATAAAAATGTAAACATATGAGTTTTGACATTTTAGCTTAACCATGTTTTGAAACATTACAAAATAATTTTGTAGACTTAAAGAAAGATATAAACTATTGTTATGAAGTCTATAAATAATGAATACAGTATTTTCACAAATACAATAGAATATGAAACATATGAGTATGTATATGAATATATTTTTGTTTCATATCTATGAAATTAAACCAAACCAACTTATCCACATAAAAACAAACATGTATGAATATAAATATTTATTTATATGCATGTAAAAACTTTGTTTGTGGATAAACCAAAATCCAAAATGTGTGTGTGTGTGTGTGTATATATATATATATATATATATATATATATATATATATATATATAGAAACCAATAAAATATGTGTGTATATGATATTGAGCTTAAAGTACTTAACACACATAATAATAACACCTAAACTAAATTACCCAAGCTATGATCTTGATCTTCAATAAGCTCTTCTTGGTAATCTTGTGGATGAAGCTTGAACTTGGATCTTCAACTTGAATTGTATATATATATAGAAACCAATAAAATATGTGTGTATATGATATTGAGCTTAAAGTACTTAACACACATAATAATAACACCTAAACTAAATTACCCAAGCTATGATCTTGATCTTCAATAAGCTCTTCTTGGTAATCTTGTGGATGAAGCTTGAACTTGGATCTTCAACTTGAATTGTATGCCTTCACTCCATAATTCCGTCAACCTCCATTGGATATGATCATTGAAGCGCAATTCCATCCATCCTTCAACTTGTTGTTTGTCTATAATAAATAGAATTATACAAACACTAGACAACAACATTAGAAGTAAATTATTTGTTAAACATCATCAAAACAAGAAGGCTAACAGAGTCGACCCTAACATTCATCATCTCCCTTCTCCTCAGTGTCGTCAGGATCGAAACAACATCCTACGGCGGACAACCCCCATCGACTATTTGTTCATGAACATCAGTAGTTTAGCGCCCACCGTGGGGCCCACTCTTTTCTCTGAGAAGAAATGCTCAATTCTAAGTAGAGACCTGATCTTGTTCATTCTTGAAGAACGCTGGAATTGCATCGTTCAAGCTAAACAAAGCCTAGAATCGCATCATTCAAGCTAAGGAGGATTAGCCACGGCTATGAGGAGCCAATGTAGGTGTAGCCCTCGAGCGCTCCAACATCTTTCTGGGGAGTATTTGCCAAGTAGAATCCCGAAAGCCCTCCTAAGAAAAGACACACCACTATGATGCTTGTCTGACTTGAGAATGAGGCACATGCTTCTAATTGCCACCACAGACGAAAACCCCACCGCCTGGATAGCCAAGAGGCCTGGGGTTGGATCGCAAATAGACCCCTAAGGGTTATGATCAGATCCAGTATCGCTCAAGCTCCTGTCGGTAATGGCTCACCGAGTAAGGAGCAGCGATCAAGTCTGTGGCAGGCTCCTCGGACCACCACCACCTCCAAATGAGAGTCCTTACACACCAAAAGATGTGATTACGGGAAAAACTCAAGGGCCCGCCATCTGGTCTTCTCAGGAAGATTAACAGCTCTGGCCCCTAACCGCTGTTCGAACCACCTAAAGTTAAAATAATAACTGGTGGTCGAAGCATGCGATTCGCATCCCCCAACAAAAGAAGGCTCCTCCATTTATAGGATGGTCCGGTCGTTGCTATCCCTTGAAACCCCAAGGGGAAGTCATGGTCCCATCAAATTCTAGGGAACAAAACTTTGGCGCATGGGGCTCTCACCAACAAGAAGCCCCCATCACAAAAGTTGTCTGGGCCTCCTCCTGTTGAGCACTATCCTCCAAAAGCTCAATTAGCAGGACTCTGGCCATATAGCGCAACCAACGATCGACAAGCAAGATCGGTTGGAAACTACCATGTCCACCGTTGACCTACAAAGATCTCAACAAAAACTCCAAGCAGGTCCTTGGCTGATGAGATGGTAAATATGCCAGCAACTCAATGACACCCAAAGTCAAACAACTCACCCTCAAAAATAAAAGCAACCCCCGATTCCGGGCGTTCCCTAGTTTGGCAACAAAAACAGCCAATGAAGCAACAACTCACTCTCATCAAGTCAAGGAATGTTCACAGGTGAAAAGAAATAGCCAAGGAAGCTCCGCCTCGATGACCCTGTCTCCGGCAAAAGCCATCTTCAAAATGCATCTGGGCAAGAAACACGAATTCAATGCGGCTCGATGGAATAAATGTGAATGAGTTGTACTCTATCATGTATAAATTCTAATAATCAATAGAAATGTCAAAAAATGAAAAGAAAGACATCAAAGACCTAGTCAGCTAGGCACTCGACTAAGTCGATAAAAGTCCTTGGTACCTCCTCAGGGTAAAACCAAGGCACAATCCTTTTTGCCGATTCCCACAATCGACTCTTGACCCTAGGGAAAAATGCAAGTCCTCAGATCCTAATCTGGGTAATCCCAAGGCGCAATGACTCCTCAGTCGGTCACAAGACCCTGGCGCCACCTCAGGATAGGCCCAAGGTGCCACGACTCTTCAGTCGGTCACAAGGCCCTCGTTATGCCTCAGGATAGGCCCAAGGCACAGTGACTCCTTAGTCGGCATAAAGTCCTCGGCTCCTAATATGGGTAAGCCCGAGGCACAACGACTCTTCAGTCGGTCATAAGACCCTGGCGCTGCCTTAGGACAGGCCCAAGGTACCACTACTCCTCAGTCGGTCACAAGGTCCTAATGCCTCCTCAGGACAGGCCCAAGGCACAACGACTCTATAGTCGACATAAAGTCCTCGGCTTCTAATCTGGGTAAGCCCGAGGTGCAATGACTCCTCAGTCGGTATAAAGCCCTTGGTAACTTCTCAGGGTAAAACCAATGCCCAATGACTCCTTAGTCGGTATAAATCCCTTGGTACCTTCTCAGGGTAAAACCAAGGCCTAACGACTCCTTATTCAGTACAAAGACCTTGATACCTTCTCAGGGTAAAACCAAGGCCTAACGACTCCTTAGTCGGTATTAAGACCTTGGTACCTTCTCAGAATAAAACCAAGGCACAATGACTCCTCAGTCGGAACAAAGCCCTTAGCACTTCTTAAAGGTAAGCCCAAGGCATAACATATGGTTCGATTCCTTCTGCTCTTATCATCTATAGTGGTCAAGACCTTGGTAACTTCTCAGGATAAAACCAAGGCACAACGACTCCCCAGTCGGAACAAAGCCCTTAGCACTTCTTAAAGGTAAGCCCAAGGCACAATATATGTTCAATTCCTTCTGCTCTAATCATCCATAGTGATCAAGACTTTGGTACCTTCTCAGGATAATACCAAAGCACAACGACTCCTCAGTCGGAACAAAGCCCTTAGCTCTTCTTAAAGGTAAGCCCAAGGCA